TTTTTTTAATGCTTGTGGACTGCCTGAGTTTATCTTTTTTCTATTTCTCCACAAGTATGCTTCCTGGAAAGTATACAGGTGTGGTCTGGGGACCTTGTTTATACTCAATGTACATCTGGAGACCCTTGACGTGACTACTAAGTTGGCTCATGAGGAAATCTATCTTCTGCAGTTTAGCCATGTGAAAGATCAATGTGATGTCAGCATAAATTAATTTCTTTTGTTGGCTTTTTACAAATTTATTAATTTCCTTTCTGTGCTTTTGAAGGTGTATTTTGGTGTTGTTGTTTTTCTCTGAAATGCAAAAGGACATTCCCTAGTGATGGGAATGCTATGGGCTTACTGTTTCCTCTTCTGCAACTTTTGTTACATGGAATTTAAATCCTCATTCTCTTTAACACATATCTTCTTTTTCTCCCTTTCCTTTACCCTTTTCTACTGAATTCTGGGAGAATTTGATTAATTTTTCTTCTTGCATTCTCCTTGAATTTCTATATATTCAGCGTGTTTATCACAGATTTTTTTAGTTTCACAATTGTACTTTTAATTCATATGCAAACATTCTCAATTTTCTAACTACCTTCACAGAAGCAGTGTGCAACTGAATCTGGTTAAATATGTAAACAGGAGATTGTTCTAAAAGTTCTACCTATTTCTTGAAAGTAATTCTTATTTATAAGTGGAGATACCTTCTCATTTTTTCACATTGATCTTTTTTACAGTAATTTCCTACAACATATCATAAGCTCTATGGTTTTTTCTTTAATACCACAGAGATGTTCACCCTCACTCAGTATTACAGGATAAAAAGGACACAGTCATTAATTGACAGATTGCACTCAGAAATGCTCAGAGCAGTAACAAGGATATAGATTTACTCTAATTTTACTTTGATAGATTGTAGGTACTACCATCTGTTACACCTTCTTTTGCAAATATACTGAAGGTACAGGTTTCTTTTCCGTGTTTATCATGGCAGTACACATTTGTCCTGTATTCTCTATCTGGCTCAGATGCTCACATTGGGTGAGAGGCTGAAACTCCACTGTGTGCTGAGCAAGACCAAGCATGGAAGGTGGGACTGCTGCCCAGGGAACCCTTTAAACCTGACATTTTCACAGGGGGCTCTGTTATGGGTAGAATAGTGCTCCCCAAAAAGGTATGTAGAAGCCTTGACGTGAAACCCCCAGGAATGTGACCTTATTTGGAAACAGGGTCTTGAAGATATCATCACATTAAGATAAGGTCATTAGGGTGGGCCCATATCCGATATGATTGGCATACTTTTAAAAAGAGAGGACTTTGGACATGGACCACACAGAGAGGACAATGCCATGCAAGGACAGAGACAGGGTGAAGATGGCCATGGAAGATGGAGGCAAAAATTAGAGAGGCAGTGCCACATGCCAAGGAAAGTCTGAGACTCCCATGAGAAGCAGGAGGCAAGGAGGGAACCTGCCTCAAGGCTTTGGAGGGAGTACATCCTGTTGACACCTTGATTTCCTTCATAACTATGAGAATATAAATTTTTGAGGTTGCCCTACGCCACCCAGTTTGTCATACGTTGTTATGGCAGCCATGACAGACCCATAGTGAATCTACCTTTAAGATGTGCTTTCTCATCTGGTTGCTCCATGGCCTCCCCTTCTTTCAGTATCTGTCCTGCATCAGGGATTTCGTATGCTTTGACTATACCCTCCGTCCACCCTCCTCCTTTCTACCTGGTGAATACCTCGCTCTTCTTCTATTCACTGCCCTGGTTTCCAGCAAGAATGCAGATTATCCCTCGAATCCTCCTGTAACGTTGTTCATTTCAGTCAGGAGTTAAATGCCTGTATTCTAGCTTTTTAAGAGCAGATGGTAACAGACTAGCTTTCCTTTCTGAGATGTGGCCAGAAGGTAGTATTGCTGTTCTGCAACTCTTGACCCAAGAGGTGTTGCTGCCAACTCACCCTCTATTACAAGTATATGTAATTCTGGATCCAAACTGGGTGTTTGTGTCTACGTGCACCATGCCATTCACAGGATCTGCAGGAGTTTCACATGACTTTCCTTGAAAAAGAAACAGAGTTTTGGAGCCAGGAAGAATTGTCTGAACTTTTGTTAGTCCATAACACGTTAGTCCCCACCAGACTGCAGCTTCCCGAACAGTGTCTGCAATTCTGAGGGATCCGCATATTTTTCTCACCTTGAGGAACATCACCAGACTCCTCAGGATCAGCCACTTCCCAAGCACCACACTAGAAATACCTCCTTTCCAGATCTATCTTAGATTTGCCTCAAATCTTTTATCAAACTAGTAACGTTATGTGTGAGTTTGTATCCTACCAGTATAAAAATTTTTCTCTTACCTTCTTATTCAAGCAGTTTATGTCTCCTGAAATTTTGTTTCCTGATTTGGAGTAATTCAATATTTACTTCCCCATAAAAGATGGACTTTTCCCACAAATATTCCTTGAAACATTCTAATGACATAAATATTTCAACCAATATTTCAGGATGACCTACAAGACTAACTCTTACACTCACCTATCTGAACACGTTTAACGAATAGACTTTTCTTATTTTGAAATTGGGTTAAAAAAATAGTAAGATGCTACAGATACTCTGACAAACGTGGGACTGTTCCAAGGCAGGGTTTACTCACGTTTACAGACATCTTTGACACTGGACCACGTGAGGTTTGCTAGACACGTGATAGAGAATGAGTACCTCCGGTACTCAGGGCGGCATTCATACTTTAAAGAGGTCCCAATGGGAAACTCAGATTCATTGGTTGGGATTTTCAATTTGGCAAACTGAAAAGGATTTGGGGCGGTACAGCGACCTAGAGACCAAGAAATCAAGAACATTAGAGTGAACAAAAAGGTTCCCAATGCCATTCTTACTTGTCTTTTTCTTGTTAGATTTGATGTCAGATTTGGAATGGTCATTTCCTTGTGACCATCGGAGATAAAGATCCTTGAGCACGTGTCCATGAGGAAAGAAACTATCTGGAACACTCTTGCTCTCTGGGCATTTTACGCATACAATTTACTGTAAAACACAGTACCAGTTCAATTTTCCACATTTTTGTGGAGCCAGAAACAGTGCTCCCACCCAGGGTTCCTGTGTGGTTTGCTTGTACTTCAGTGCATCAGACTCCACTGGGTGGCTTAGGAGCATGAATGGGGACCTCAAGGTGTTTATTTCTTACAATTAGGAAGCAATCACCGACCTTCTAGGTCTGATTTTCAAGCCGACCATGTCAACACAATGTAGAAAAAGGAGCATCTCTTCAAAGAAAAAACAAAGAAACACAAACTATAGTTCTTATTATAAGAAAACACTGTTAGAAGTGTATGTTGAATGTGATTCTAGGTGGAGTTCCCGGCCCCTATAAATTATAGCTCTAAGCTTGAGGGGTACAGACTCGCTGTGGATTCAAGTAGAATGAAATGTAAAAAGTGCATAGGTTTGGAAAAATAGAAGTTGTTTCTTTTTTGGTTTTGACAATAACTTCTCCTTTAGTTTCTTGTGTAGCTGTCCTCCACCTCCCTTTCAAATATCTCTCCAAACAGTAAAAGTTATACTAGAGCCAATTTTGCATCCAGACAGTTCTCCATGTCAAGATTTCAAAAACAGTTTCTCATCCCTTTAATACAGTTTAATACTTTATCTCACTGAAAATGTGCTTAATTTCAACGTGTCATCACAGAAAACTCATTCATCTACTTTACCTGGTTTCCTTTTATTTTTGACGTTGAATTTTAGCTGTAATGGCTTCTAGTAAAAGGAATCCCCCTTTATGACTAAAACCTACCAGCTAAGGCTAAATCACACATGAAGATGGTCTGGCAGGTCTCCGTGTAAAATTCTAGCTGATAAAACTACAGCTGCCATCTTACGATAGGGTTCTGTTGGGGAAAAACTAATCATAGAACTTAGGAGAAGATTGCCTCTGGCTGTTGATTCAGTGAACCTGACAGGTCTCTGCATTTGTCAAGAGGCCCACAGGGATACCTATGTTGAAACCATGATGGTAGAGAAGGAAAGTGAGGGCAAAAAATACTTTCTGAGTGTCTGCACTTGGTCCCTTCTTCTCTAGAACTGCTCTTGTCTCTCAGAGTTCCCCAGGGGTCAGTCTGTTATGCCAGGACCAGGGTCACTTCTACAACTTACTTTCTCCTTCCCAAATTTACATTACATGTCTTAGCTCTGTCGGGTGTCTTAGGAAACCTTCTGCAGACCTTAGAAATACACACTCTATTTTGTACTTTTCCTTCATGTTCACATCCTTTGATCTTTCTTTCTACCGAAGTGGGAAGACATGAATGGCTAAATTACCATGGGGCTAAGGAGCAAGTAAGCTTCACTTTATCTTAGAAGTTAACCCAAGTTGACTAAAGGAATTTTTGTAGGGGTCTACGATGCAGCCCGATGTTCACAGACAATGCACAGTGGTCTCAGGTCAAACAGGTTATTAAAAGCCATTTTCACAGATTTTGTTCTCTGCTGGCCTGTGCTTCTCTCCAAATCCTGTGAAATGATATAACGGGGTCCAGTTAAGGCTCATAGGTATTTGCTTTCAATGCTTAGGCTTTGAAAATACCTTCCTTCTAATTCTGATTAGGAAGAGAGCCAGCCGCAACTGCTTCCCTCTCTTTACCTCAGACCTCTAGAAAAAAGACCATCAGAATCTTGCGTGTTCATATATCTCAAAACATTTTGTTAGTGACTTGGCATTTAATTGGTCCAGAAGCACCAATAAACCCAATGTTATATGACAGAAATTTAGAGTCTGGTTTAGATATTCCAAAGCCATTTGGAATGCGGGGCAGTGAGCACTGACCAGGAAGTTCACAGCGAGGGGCAGAGCTGCTCCAAATCCCGTTCCCGTGACCATCACTGGTGCAGCGGATGGTGCTCTCCCCAGTGAGGCTGAAGATCACCCCCGTCTCTGGCTGCGAGTCACACGTGTAAGTCACTTCTGTTCCAAAAGGAAAGACTTCCAGAGGGTTTCCTGTGTGTCTCCCATTAAGGATGTCTGGAGGACTTGGACACAAAATTTCTGGAAGGAAGGCAAAAGCTCTCAGTTTCACTGAAGAGTCTCACCAGAGGTACACTACAGACATAGGGTGCTAAGGTTGGTGCTACCTAAAGACACGAAGGCTATGACATGGTCCGTTAGGCCTTTGATGAGATGGACAAAATGAAGTGAGATTTCAGTCTTTTTTTTTTTAATGAAAAGGTCCAAAATTTTGGCTATCCCAATCTTTCAGACCTTTAATCTTCTGCAGAATAGAAACTTGGCACCATTAATTAAGTATCAAAACTGTTAAAGAATTAAAAATAACCTATTGGAAGGTAACTAATTCATTTACTCAACGTATATTAATTGAGCACTTATTCTGTGTCAGCCTCTCATCAGGGCCCTGGGAATACACAGCAAAGGGCACTGATAAATTCTTGTCCTCCAAGGAGCTTACATTCTCTGCAAACAGCTCTACAGTGTATT